TAATCCATTTACCCGACTGCTAATCCATTTACCTAACTGTAAACATTGTTTAATTAAATCCCACCACCAGACTACATCCTATCTCTAGTTGCAAATTTGTCTTGTCCCCGGGGCTGCCTGACTTATTGTTTTCTTTTTGGTCAGCACAGCCTTAATGTCTAACCAGTCCCAACTTAGCTCTGACAAGCCTGGACTTGTTTCTGGCAGGGGCTTTTCCAAGCCCTGACCAGACTGTAACAATATGACTCAGCCAGCAGGACAGAGTGAGTTCCCGTTGGGAAAGACCTTTTTCTTTCTTTCCTTCCTCTCTCCCTTTTTCTGGGGAGGGAGAGGGAAGACCTCCATTGTTGGCTTCTCCGGCACACCCGGGGCCCCCCCAAGTGGCAACCACCAGTGATCCAACAGTGCTCCCTGCTGACTGTGGTTAGAATTGTACCAAAGGATGCAAACTGAAGTTTACCTTTTTGCTTGTTTGTTTGTGTTGAAGGGGAGTATTTTTGGGTATAGAATTATTGTTAGGTTGTTTTATTTTGTGTTCTTTCATTGTTCTGCCGATACACATATATCTTTTAATAAAGGGCTGTTATTTTTCCTTTTTCCACATTTTTCTCAATTGGAGCCTTTTAATTTTGGCTTTACAATTGCTTAGAGGGAGTAGTTTGGGTCTTCCTTATAACTCATCCTCAGCAAAACATTTGTGTCTCATTTAAACTGAGACAGTATTAAATGTTAATAATACTATAGTTTTGGTCAGGTAAGGTTAATATAGGTTATAGATAAGACATAACAGAGCTTTGAAATTAAAATACTAAATTTTTTTTTAACAACTAGGTATTTTTTAAACTTACATATTTTTAGAGAGGATTCCTCTCTCCTTAAAATTTTCCTTGGTTCTGACAACAGGTAGATTTTTCAAGTTTTTTTTGTTGGATGTGTATGGTATGGTATATGAATTAAGTCAAAATACCGACTGCATTCTTTTCTATCTTAGGTGATTTGCAAGTCAGATGCTCCTACAGGGGATGTTCTGCTTGATGAAGCTCTGAAACACATAAAAGAGACCCAACCTCCTGAAACAGTACAAAATTGGATTGAACTGCTTAGTGGTAAGCCTTTAACATAATGTATTTGCTTCCCCCCCCCCAATAATGCTAATTATCTGGCATCACTAGAGATTATACTGTAAGATTTTTGTGGAGATAGCATACAAAAAAATTAATTAGTCTGTCCTCTAGAATAGTATCTTGTTAAGTGTAGCCTTTAATCAAATGCTTTTGATTTAACTTGGTACAGAAAGGATCTAGATCCAAGTGTCAGAGTACATCTCTACTTTGTGGAAGAGGTGTCTTCTGCTGACTCGAGTAAATCAGGACTGCACTATGGATAAATAACCGCCTTTTTCTGTAATTGGAAAGGAGGGATAGTGGAAGTTTGGAGTATCACAGAATCATAGAATATCCTGAGTTGGAAGTGACCTACAAGGATCATCGAGTCCAACTCCTGACTCTGCACAGGACAATCCCAAGAATCACACCGTGTGCCTGAGAGCATTGTCCTTCTTGAACTCTGTCAGGCTTGGTGCTGTCACGTGAAAAGGAGAGATTTCCTCAACCCTTAGTGATTTATTTGTCTGTCAGGGCCCCAGGAAATCTAAGACTTGTGCCCAACCAGTGTGTCAGCATCCCGTTATGGAGACCCTTCATTGAAGAGTTCCACTGGATCAGAGGGTGATTTGACTGCCTTTTTCAGGGGGCTAAGCCAACAGCATAAGGGACACCCCTCATCAGGTCTTCCCAGTTTATTTGAATGTGTTACCTGATGCTGGCAACTGCTACCACCTGTAAAGGGCTCACTCAGTTTATGTAATAACACTCTTTATTAATACAAAATTGTGACAGGTTAAGGTTTGAAGATTTCCAGTGATAGTATTTGTGTGCAAAAATGTATTTAAAGCAATATAAAAATAAGCTCTAATACTGACAAAAGTATTCAACAGGCATACAGTTCTTACCTGATAGGCATCCCTACAGGAGAGAAGACAGGTTCAGCCCATCAACTGATCCCAGCAGTTACGATGGAGTCTTCCCTGATTTTCTCTCTATTCTCAACTTACTTTTATACTATTTCTTTATGTTAAGGTGGAGCTTGAGTGACTTTAGTCATAAATACTTTTGTTTCTGATTGGTGTAAAATGGTGCATGCCCAGGGAGGGTGGCCATACCTTGGAGGCAGGTAACTTTGGTATGGAGCTGTGCGTTAATATTAGAATTAGGTTTTAATGAACCAAGTTCATCCGAGGAGAGACATTTCGCCACAGTTGTTGTCTCAGCAGCAGGACATCTCCCTTGGTTGAAAGGTGGTATGTGGTCTTGTCAACTACAAAGTATCACTAAGTTCCCCTCCCTACGAGGATTTCTATGGAGGGAGGCTGCGGCATCTCCACTCCATTCCACCCTCCATTCCATCCCCTGTAGCAGGTGCTTATTTTTGTATGGGGAGTCATCATGGAGCATGTCAACCACATTCCATCCAGGGAGTAGCAGCTGCATTTTACCCTATAATTTCCATATCGTTGTAACTTCTGTTAGGATGTGAATATAACTTCTTAGTTTCCTCTAATTTTTACCCCCAGCCATCTTCCAACAGGTCCTATGACCACTTTCCTGGGGAGTCTGTTCCAGTGCCCAACCACCCTCTGGGTAAAGAACCTTTTCCTAATATCCAACCTAAACCTCCCCTGACACAGACACTAGGGTCTTATCACTAGTTCTTCTTATATCGTGGTGGCCAAAACTGCAAACAGTACTCGAGCTGAGGTTGCACCAGTGCAGAGTAGAGTGGGACAATCGCCTCCCTTGACTAGCCAGTGATGCTGTGCTTGATGCAGCCCAGGATACAGTTGTGCCAGGGCACACTGCTGACTCATATTCAACTTGCTATTGACCAGAACCTCCAGGTTCCTTTCCTCCTACATGCTCTCCAGCATTTCATTCCCCAGTCTGTATGTACATCCAGGATTGCCCTGTCCCAGGTGCAAAATCCAACACTTGTCCTTGTTAAACTTCATACAGTTGGTGATTGCCCAGCCCTCTAATTTGTTGAGGTCTCTCTGCAGGACCTCTCTGCCTTTGAGGGAGTCAACAGCTCCTCACAATTTAGCGTCATTTGCAAACTTACTCAGTATAGCTTCAAGTCATGAAGATGAAGAGAACTGACAGAGCCTTGCAGAACCCCACTAGAGACTGGTTGCCAGCCTCATGTAACCCCATTTACTACTACCCTTTGTGCTCAAACATCAACCAGTTACTCACCTATCACATGACGTGTTTATCCAGCTGTGTGCTTGACATTTTGTCCATAAGGATACTGTGAGGGGCAGTATCAAAAGCTTTACTGAAATCTAAAAAGATTACATGAACTGGCTTCCCTTGATCAACTAGATAGGTTGCCTTGTTGTAAAAGGAAATTTTGTCAAGTAGGACCTTGCCCTCATGAAGCCATGCTGGCTGTGATCAATGACGGCAATGTAGTCTTTGTCAGGTGTCTTTCAGTAACTCCCACAGTAATCTTCTCCATAATTTTACCAGGCACTGAAGTGAGACTGACAGACCTATAGTTTCCAGGGTCATCTTTCTTGCCCTTCTTGAAAATTGGGACAACACTTGACAGCTTCCAGTTGACTGGGACCTCTCCAGATTCCCAAGACCTTTCAAAATTTGCTAGTTGAAAAAAACAGGGGCGAAAATTAACACCACTCAAACTGCCCCCTTTCAATAGTGGAGGAAAAATACTAGGACAGATTTTAAGCTGGAGTCACAATTTATTGAAGAAATTGCAATAAACACAATATTAATAAAAGATTGGATAAAAAAAGGAATGGTTACCCAACAAAGGCAAGATGTGTCCTGGCCCCCTAGGACAAAACCAAAATGGTTTCCCCAGACAAACACAAAAGGGTGGCCTTTCCCCCACTGAACCACGTGGTTCAGGAGAACAAAGAAAACAATGTGACAAACAAGCTTCCGTGGTTTAATGCCCTCCCATAGCCAGAAAAAACCCCACAACAGAGAACAGGGGCAAAGCAACACCTGGAAAGCTATTTTGTCCAAAAGGAGTTATGCTGCCGAAAACACTGGCTCCAGCAGTGACATTGGTGAAACAATTCTGGAGCAGCTTGTGGAGTAGTGACTCCCAGACAGGACCATGACCACAGCAGGGCTTCAGTAACAGTTGCTGCTTGCCGTGGTTTCAGCAACAGTTATGGCTTCCCCTAGGAAAAAAAAAGTTTACTGTGTGTTTAAGGGAACAGTCCACACCTTCCCGCTACCGAGGTAAGACTGCAATGAACTTCCAGCTTCTGGCAGCTTGGTGTTTTCTGCTGAAAACCATGCCCCTCTGGCATGATGCGGATGTCATTGAATAGCCAGCACTAAAAGACTCCCCTTACCTTCTTTATAACCATGACACAAAATCATTGAGAGAGGTCTCATGATGACATCAGACAGCTCTTTGAGTATCCTTGAATTAATCTCATCAGGTTCCATAGATTTATAGAGTCGACTGGGAGTTTATCATTCTCACATCCATGGTCCTCCAGCTCAGGGCAGTGGGACCCCCAGAGCCCATCATCAGTGTTGAAGACCAAAGCGAAGAATGCATTAAACATCTCTGTCTTGTCTCTGTCCCTGTTTGTGAGGTGACCATCCTCATCCTGTAATGGGCAAATGTTATTTCTGCCCTGCCTTTTGCTTTTAACATATTTTAAAAAACTCTTTATTGTCCCCCACAGTACTCACCAGCTTCAACTCCAATTGAGCTTTGGCCACAGGAATTTTGTCCCTTCAATGACAAGCAGCATCTCTGTATTCCTCCCATGTCACCCAACCTTGCTCCCACTAGCCATACATTTTTTTTTACCTTAGCTCCAGAAGGAGATCCCTGCTCAGCCAAGTAGGCCTTCTGCCTCGTCTGCTTGACTTCTGACATTTTGGAATTGCCATATTGGAGTATAGCTGTATGGATTCAGTATTCACACCTTTTGATAAAGAAAGGGGATAAGAAGCTCACTGTTCAGATGTAAAAGTTAAGGGTAATTTGGCCGTTAATTGCAAAGAAACAAAGAGTTAGGAGTTCTTTTTACTATTCCTTTAACCAGAGAAATGTAAAAAATATTTTCAAATATTAGGTACTTCTAGTTGTTCAAAACAAAGACTTCAAGATAAGTATGTTGCACACAGCTCTTCCTGTAAATCTAATGAATTGTGGCAAAAAGTGAAATGTCAATTATAGAATCATAGAATGGTTTGGGTTAGAAGGGACCTTAAAGATCATCTAAATCCAACCCCCCTGACACGGGCACCTTCCATCTACTAGACCAGCTTGCTCCGAGCCAAATCCAACCTGGCCTTGAACTTTCCAGGGATTGGTCAACCCCATCTTCTCTGGGCAACCTGTTCCTCACTACCCTCACAGTAAAGAATTTCTTCCTAATATCTAATCTAAACTTATAATTTTTCAGTAAAGCTCTTGTCCTATCAGTACATGCCTTTGTAAAAAGTCCCTCTCCAGACTTTCTGTAGGCCCCCTTTAGGTAGTGGAAGGCTGCTCTAAGGTGTCTCTGAAGCCTTCTCTTCTCCAGGCTGAACAGTCCCAACTCTCTCAACCTATCTTCATAGGAGAGGTACTCCAGCCCTCTCATGATCTTTGTTGTCCTCCTCTGGACTTGCTCCAACATGTCCATGTCTTTATGTTGGCAGTCCCGGAGCTGGATGCTGTACTCCAGGTGGGGTTTCATGAGAGTGGAGTAGAGGGGGAGAATCACCTCCCTTGACCTTTTGGTCATGCATCTTTTGATGCAGCCCAGGATATGGTTGGCTTTCTGGGCTGCAAGTGCATGCTGCTGGGTCATGTCACAGGATTCTCATCCACCAGCACCCCCAAGAGCTCCTCAGGGCTACCCTCAATCCATTTTCCACCCAGCCTGTGTTTGGGATTGCCCCAACCCAGGTGCACCACCTTTCACTTGGCCTTGTTGAACCTCATGAGGTTTTCACAGGCCCACCCCTCAGTCCTGTTCAGGTCCCTCTGGATGGCATCACTTCTCTCCAGCATGTCAACTGCACCACAGAGCTTGGTTACATCAGTAAACTTGCTGAGGTTGCACTCAATCCCACTGTCTCTGTTGCCAACAAAGATGTAAAAGAGCACTGGTCCCAAAACTATCCCCTGAGGAATGCCACTTGTCACTGGTCTCCTCTTGGACATAGAGCTGTTGACCACAATTATATCTCATCTTTACAATTGCAGTTAGTACTTTTCATACACCTTGCCAACATTTCTTTTCTCAGGATGCATAATTTAATCTGAAGTTAACAATGACCATCTTTTAACATGCAGTACTTTTATTTTTTGTTTGTTTGGGGTTTTTTTAGGGTTTTAGCCAAATTCATGACTAAGGTTTGTCCTTTTTTAACAAATACACAAAATGCAGCTTCCCTGGAATAGATCAGAGCTGTACTTATTTGTGTAAACATTGTAGGAAAAAAACGCAGTTTTGTTCACAGTATGACTGGGAGGTAGGGGGTAATAAGACATATACATCTAAATCTAATTGTTACTTGTAACAACAGAAAAGAAAGAGTTTAAATAATGACCAAAATGCCTTCAGCTTTCTCTGCCTTCTTGTTTTCATTATGTTCTTCCGATTTGTCCCATACCACTTGAAGCAACCTTCCTTGCATACTCACATACAGTTCATACTTGGTGCCCTTGTCATCCCTTCCATCTTGCTTATTGTCTGTCAGGCAAATGGGGGAGACAGTAGAACAAAGCAGCCCTTGTCAGGGGCTTATCAGGCATGTCTGCTGCGTAGCCTTGCAGTTTAGTTCTTGCTCAGCTCTCCTTAACTTTTACAACCTTCAAAAAAACAATTTTTCTTGTCCCAAATACATAATTTGTTCTGACATTTCACCTTCTCTCACAGTGTAGATCACATAAAGTTAGTATTGATTCCAAAAAGGTCAACTAATGAATGAACAGTGTTGTAGGTTTTCCTTGAGCTAAGCTAAGGTTTTTCTGACCCTGTAGAACTTTGGCTCTAGGAAGAGTTATCAGTGCTGTGGTTGAGACTTAGATCAATCATTTTTATTTACATGGATGGCATTAGGGTTCTTTGTGCTTCCTGTGCTTTAGAGAACTGTCTTTTGAAGAAAACTATTTTTGTGTTTTGGCTTTTTGATAAAATCTTTTACAATTTTGCTTTAGGGTCTGATCCCTGAAAATAACTACTCTATCCATAATTATCAACGATGTGAAGAATGCTGCTTAAAGTTAGTGTTCAAAACCATTATGGAAATATTTGTATGGATGTTTAAGGTGGTGTTTTCTAGGCTGATCTTGTTTATAAGATAGCCTCTAAGGGAAGCAAGTATAGGGAATGCAGAAACTTGGATCAAAATGTCAAATGTAACAAACATCTGTCTGTGTTTGAAGCAAGTGTCAGTGTAATTGAGGAGACTGAACACAAGGTGTCACCACAGCATTGATTTTTATTATTATATAGCCACATCCACCTAATAAATTTAGAAACATCTAGGAAATTACCTTTGCCCTGTGAAACAATGTAAGGAGACGAATTTTTTTTTTTTGGTTCTTTGGTGATAGCTTCATTCATGGTCAAACTGGGGAATCACATCAAATGAGAATGAGATTCCTGCAAGGACTTGTGGAGTTCAGTCCTGGATGGGTTTTCTAGCTTTCACTATGCAGTTGGTGTCACCTAATTTGTTTACTTGTCCATTACTTGAATACAGTGCAGGTCACCTTCCATCACAATGGGAGAAATCTTAAAGTAATCTGTGTATTATTATTATTCATTAAACAATGATTTTTAAAAAAGCTTTCTTATATAGAAAGACAAGATTGGATGGGGCCCTGGACAGCCTGATCTAGTGGGTAACATTCCTTCCCATGTCAGGGAGGTTGGAACTAGATGATCTTTAAGGTACCTTCTCACCCAAGTCATTCTATGACTCCGTGATAGAAATTCTCACATCATTTATGGGAAAACCCCCATCTACTTATGAAATATTTCATGCTATTTTTTCACTCACCTCTTAAAATGCATATGCCTTTTTTTATCAGGAGGGGATTTTAATACTTACAATAAATACTTAGGTATGTTGGACCTAAAATTTTAGTTTGTTAAGTAAACTCGTAAGCAAAGATGTATTTCAGAGAATATGCTGAGTTGGAAAGGACCCACAAGGATCATTGAGTCCAACCCTTAGCCCTGCAAAGGACCATCCCCAGGAGTCACACCATGTGCCTGAGAGTATCATCCAAACACTTCTTGAGCTCTGGCAGGCTTGGGGCTGTGACAACTTCCCTAGGGAGCCTGTTCCAGTACCCAACCACCTTCTGGGTGAAGAACCTCTTTCTATTACCCAACCTAAACTTCCCTGACACAACTTCAGGCCCTTCCCTTGGGTTCTGTCACTGGTCACCACTGAGAAGATCGGTGCCTGTCCCTCCTCTTCCCCTCATGAGGAAGTTGTAGACTGCGATGAGGTCTCCCCTCAGTCTCCTCCAGGCTGAATAAACCAAGTGACCTCAGATGCTCCTCATAAGGTTTCCCCTCAAGTCCTTTCATCACTTTCATTGCTCTCCTTTGGATGTTCTCTAATAGTTTAATATCTTTCTGTATTGGGTCTGGCTGAGCTGGAGTTCATTTCCCCATAGCAGCCCTCACAGTGCTGTGCTTTGCATTGGTAGCTAGAAGGGTGTTGATAACACACCAGTGTTTTGGCTACTGCTGAGCACAGCATCAGCATTGTAACATTCCTTCTCCAATCAAGGGCAAGATTCTGGGACGGGACACAAGCAGGCCAGCTGACCCAAACTAACCAAAGGGATATTCCATACCATATGACGTCAGCTCAGATATAAAAGCTAAGGAAAGGAGGAGGAAGAGGGGGCATTCATTGTCTGCAATGGTTGCCTACTAAGAAACCATTATGCGTCACTGAAGCCCTGCTTCTCAGAAGTGGTTGACCATCATTGCTGATGGGAAGTAAAGAATAAACTTTGTTATTTTTCACTTTGCTTTTGCATATGCAAGCTTTTGCTTTGTTTCTACTTTAATAAACTGCCTTATCTCAACCCATGAGTTGTTTTCCATCTTATTCTCTCTCCCCTTTACGTCTTGGAAGGGGAGTGAGAGTGGCTTGGTGGGCACCTGGTGTCCAGCCAAGGTCAGCTCACCACACTGTCATATTGTGGCAATCAAAACTGCATACAATATTCAAGGTGAGGACCCCACCAAGTGCTTAGCAACTTTCTTGGTAGCTGTTGATACTGATTTTGTGCTTTTAAAATTTCCTCCTCTAAGCGCACACACTCTGAAGTGCCTGGTTGTCCTGCCTTCCCAAAAAAAAAATTAGAAATAATTTTTATAGAAACATCAAAGCCCCTGCTCAACATGTGCCTGTGTGTAATGCACACACCTACACTCACACAGTGCATGTCACTGTTTCATCTGCTGGGGGCAGGAAGGAAGAGAAGAATATAAATATGAAGAAATAGAGGAGGACATATAGTGTAGGTGTAGCTTACTCTGTGGCAGAAAGAATGGCAATGGCACTTCTTCCATCTTCTGAATTGATAAAAGCCTGGAAGTAGACAAAAGGGACAAGATGTTTATTTTTGTTTTTATTAACTCTGTCTTCATGACTGTTTGTGGTTTTCTCAGTTTAATGAGACTGTTTTGCTAAGGAGGATGAGTTATGAGGAAGACCAAACCCTTCCCTCTAACCAATTGTAAATCCGAAATAAAGAGGCTCCAACTTAGAAAGAATGGAGAAAGAAAAAAACCAGCCCTTTATTAAAGGATATATGTGTGTTGGCAGAACAACAGAACAACACAAAAACAACCAAACAATAATCCTGTACCCAAAAGTCCTTTTCAAAAGGAAACAGTTCGATACTTCCTGTCTTTAGGCGCAATTCTAACCAACAATCAACAGGGGGCACTGTTGGATCACTGGAGGAGCAGAGTCTGCAATTGCTCTGTGGTGGCCAGCAGGGGGCGCTGTTTGGGCTCTGGCAGTCACCACGTGGAGCCCCAGTATGCAGGAGAAGCCGAAATGGTCTCCCCCCCCACTGAGAAGGGGAAAGGGAAAAGGGGAAAAAAGGGTTTCTTCCCACGAAAACTCACGCTGTCTGAGGCTGGCTGTGGCCATTTCTCCCCTTTCATCGATGTGCAAAAACCGTTACCAAACACTGGAGTGGAGGGGGGAAAGGGTGATCTCCTTCCCAAATAGTTCCTCTGCAGATGGGTCAAACCTCTCCAATGAAATCCGAGCAGATCTGGGCTGGAGGCAGAGCAGGGTGCAGGACAAAAACGGAGGTAAGTCAAGACTGGAAAACAGCCAGATGACCAGGCTGATAAAAAAACGACTTTCTAACCCACACCTTGCCTGAGTTAAAGTCAAGTGCCCTCGTTTCCAAGGAGAGAAGAAAAAAAAACTCATCACCCCTCCCCGAAGTCTTAGGAGGGCCATGAGCTTTGAATGCAGGCCTGCCAGGTAGTTTTTTTGTGAGGATAAATCACCCAAGGCAAACCACCCTCCCCCATTCAACATCTTTCTTTTATAGTGAGGCAGGGGAAAGAAAAAATTCCCGGCTTGGTGATTTTAGACCAAGTAAACCTATGACAGTGGTGTTTTGTTTTGGGGGTTTGTGGGTTTTTTTCTTTCCCTTCAGTACAAGAATGTTTATTTGTCATATCCCTAATCAAGGCATGGCTTAGCAGCATTTCATCCAAACATTAAATGCTGATATGAGCACAATATCTTAGTGTAATAGTCAGCTATATGAATTTGACAGCTCATTCTGCAGCTGGGGGGTAGGGGGGAGAATCGCTGTAATAAATACAGTTTAAACTTTGCCTGACTCTTGCCTTTTTTTCTTTTTTAGGTGAAACATGGAACCCATTGAAGTTGCACTACCAATTGCGAAATGTCCGTGAAAGGTTAGCTAAAAATCTAGTGGAAAAAGGTGTACTGACAACAGAAAAACAGAACTTTCTTCTTTTTGACATGACTACACATCCTCTCACCAACAACAGTATCAAACAGCGCCTCATCAAAAAGGTTCAAGAAGCAGTTCTTGACAAATGGGTGAATGACACCCACCGCATGGACAAACGCTTGCTGGCACTTGTTTATTTAGCCCATGCTTCAGATGTTCTGGAGAATGCTTTTGCCCCTCTTCTGGATGAGCAGTATGATTTAGCCACAAAGAGAGTGCGGCAGCTTTTGGATTTAGACCCTGAGGTTGAATGTATGAAAACCAACATGAATGAGGTTCTGTGGGCTGTTGTAGCAGCTTTCACAAAATAACTGTGTTTAGACTGAAGTGTTCTCTCTTCTCTCATGTAAACCAGTTGTTTTTCTTCTATTGACTATTCATGTTTTATGTCATTTCTACCTTCTCACATGATGAATCAACTCTTGCTTGATAGGAATTATGTGGTGGTGTATTCCCTCCTTCTCTGTGTATCTGTATACAGGATTCTGCTGGTACAAGAGACCTTCTCATTTGAAAATAACAGAAAAAGGTTTTACTGCCATATTGGCATTCTATTTCCTATTCAGTTTTGAGTTATCCAAAATACTTTGTTCAATCTATTTTTCATCTTACTGTTAATGAAGTGGTTTAACATGGAAAGTACCTCAAGGAGGAAATGTGCATGCAGTTGGATCACTAGTCTCAGCTGACACAGATGTGTGCATGCATCAATACTTCTGCAGTACAACTCCTAACAGATTGAAGAAGGGCCTTTTAAAATCACCAAAGCTTCATGTTGAAGTATCTGTCAGGACATTTTATATACAGATATTGTTTCAATTATATCTCACAAAATTACTTTAAAAGCAGAAATGCCATTAAGCAGCTTTTTCAATAGTTCCTGTAAAATGCCCCATAAATTTTACTTTTCATGCAAGTCTCTTGTGTACTTATGATTAAGTTAAAATGATAACTGAGTCATAAGGCTAGTGTTGAAAGGTCCAAATGTTTCATAAACCTGTTTTGGTATAGGATACATTCCATTATATTGTATATAAAGTTCAAATTGTAAATTAACAACTGACCTATTTTATTATTTTGCAAGATCTACTTAGTTTTACACCTGGTCCCCCTTATTTGCCATCAGCCATTTGATGGAAAGAAAGGCCTCCTATAAAGACCACATATGTGAAAGCTGTTTGTTTCCAGTGTCTACAGAGTTTGCTATCCAGGTATTCTCAGTCTATGCATTGCCTTAGAAAGTGGTCTCTTTCTATACAGTAATTATCAATCATTTGTACATTTTTTTCTTCTTTTTTTCCCCCTCCTGTATGGAAGAAGCTTGTGACTAGTGCAATTCTTTAATGAAGTTTTTAATTTTGGTTGTGCACAAATTAATATTTGTTTCTTAAACCTCTCAATCTATTTCACACTTAAAAAACAAAAAGTCAGTTCTAGCAGGTGTTGCATGTAAATGGTTTGCAAGTAATGACTGCAGATGATTAAAATGTCTGTAATGGGATGCTGTGCTTTATTTTATTTTTTTGTATAAAATTATGCTGAATAGCACACTATTGTAAAATATATATATATAAAACTTTGTCTTTTTAAAAATTTATTGCCTCTTTGCCAGTGCTTGTTTTCTCCCATTGGTTTCACAGTGTAAATATTATGCATTGAACAAATTAAGCATCTATTTATATGTATTTTTTTCCTCATAACAATGAAGATTTATAGAGGGGCTTGCAGGTGTCTAGAAACTATTTTTGGTTAATATTCAGAGCAACAATACTAGATGGTATATAACTTTAAAATTTAAGGGATCCCCTTATCTGTATACTAACTTTTTACCTACAGTAAATAAACTATGATCTTAAAAGTGCCTGAAACAGAGCAAGCATGTAAATTTTTGTTGTTGTTGCTAATTAAAAAGGTTTTATTGCTTAATTGAAAGCTTTAGTTAACATCCTTCTTCTGAGAGTTTATATTTAGATCAAACTGACCTAATCAGCAGTGTGACTCAGATCTGCAGGATTCATGGCTGAGACAGACTGAGTTAGCTTATAAGTGTGCAACTGTGCCTGCCATAGGTAGACCTCTTCTATCTTAAGCAGAACTCTACGGCCTCATCTGTGACTGGACTTCCAATTTTGCACTTAATTTTAAATAATTTAAATGCTTAAGTAGTTGATTTTAAAATACAAGTTAAATTTGTCATGCAGATATAACCTTTCTTTAATAAAGATTTTTAAAACATGGTCCTTAACATTTAGTGGCATACTGTTCTTTCAGTTCTTGAATTATGTTTCTTTAGAAAAATTAAAGTATATTGTAAGGTATTTCAAACTTTGGTTTACAAATAAAAAGATAAACAGTGTTCTCCCATCTGTAAGATGCTGTGTTTAAAACCTTGAGGAGCTTTGGCATGAACTTTGGACATTTTCTTTTAAACATTTTCAAAAAGTGATTACTTTAAGTGGAGGAAAAATGAAAGTTGCTGTGTTGCTTTTATATTTGAAAGCTTACAGAATACCTTCTGTACTTGATAGTATATGTTACCTCATTGCTTTCATTGTCTGTCTCTCCTGTGGTCCGTTTTCTCATTTTCTATTGCTGTTTGAGAGGAGAGAAAATTATTAGATGGAAAAATCAGAAAAAATAGTAAAGTATTTGTGAGCAAGTTGAGTGCACAAAACTTTTCAAATTGTTTTGAAAATCTAAGCTACTTGAAACATGCTTCAGACTGAAAGTATCTTTGTAGTCCTTTTTCTGTCCTCTCATCTTCATTCTGTCAGTATTTTTCATGTTTCTGCTAGTTTCATGTTGCATTGTGAAAGATGCTGGGATTTTGTCACCCTTATAGGCAACATGGTTTAAAATAAAGTCACTGCTCTTTAATCCCTTCCAGAGAGAGGGTTTTTCTTGTTTTGTGTTGGGGTTTTGTGGGGGAGGGGGGTTCACATAGAAGATAACTGCCTACAATATTTATCACTTTTATTTTGCTTAAAGATAGAACCTCTGTGATAGGGAGAGATTGTATTTGGTGTATCAAAGAACTTTGATATAAGTCACAAAGGGTTTGTGAAGAGTGACAGTATCTTTTGTTAGACCAACTGGCATAAGCCTGGATGTTTAGGGGAAATAAATGAGCTTTTGGAGTCTTGAGTCCTATGTTGTGCTTTAAAAACCCCAGAACCTCATGAGTGCTACCAGAACTTAGATCTTACAAAGAGGGTAAGTTTAGTAAGTTAACAGGGACTGATTTAGCAAACATCCTTAACCTTTATTGTCATTTCGGGTTCTAATAAAATGATTAAATATGGGAGACTGTATTGTTCTGATGAGATTCAGGTACCCTTCTTTCTATTAGCTGCTACTGCAGCTCACAGAGACCTGGAGACCTGTTTTTAAGACATATTTGGCTGCTCTGGATCCTCAGCTCTCAATGGTTGCCTAAAGTGAAGATCACTGTTATAACCCGAACTTGAACCTGTGCCTCAAGGAAGAACATATATTATTCAGGGACTCATTCTTTTAAAACAAAATTTCAAGGTAATGTCAAAATCGTGATTCTGAAAGATAAATCCATAAGCAGCATATATATAATTTTACAGTCCTTGAGATTTACATCCTTCTCTCCTGTGTTTCTACAGATGATTTTCAAGTGAAACTTGTGTGCCATACATGATGCTTTAGAGGCAAAAGTTGCATAAATTAGCTATAAAAGGATGGTGACTGAGTGCTCATGTGTTCATGCCCATTTCTCCTACAAAGTGAAGACATGTATTAATAATGTGTTCTCTGTGAACTGGACTGAATCTGTACCAAAACAAAATAAAGCACCCTTTCAAGCTAATGAGCTGCAAATGGTTACAGTATATCACAGGCATGTAATACTTGACAGAATTTGTTTTCATTTTCTAAATAATTTCCAATTTTTCGTGAGTCTCTGGTCTTCACCAGTTTGGGAAACAGAACTCTAAGATCAATGCCTCAGTTCTGCCTAAACTGGGCTTCAGGCACTTGGGATAGTCAAAACTTGTTATGTCTTAGTTTCCCTTATTGTGTCCATCTATTTTTCTATATGGAAGGGTGTTTCCAGATTGTTATAATTTTATACCTTTTTATTTTTCCTAGAGAATTTTTCCATATCAACAGTCTCTTGCTAGGGCGAAGTTAACTCAGACTTCATTGTTTGTCTAGCTTGGGCCTTAATGATTGCCCTATTGAAATGCTAAATAACCTCAGTACACTAGCTAAACTGCATAAGGGAAACTTCATCTCCCCTGTAGCCAAAGTTGAGGGGGAAAAGAAGGGAGAACTCAGTTGTTTTTTTTCTCTGCGGACTTCCAGCACTGCCTGGGAGCTCTGCGGAGCTGCAAAGGACCAAAGGAGCTCCTGTTTGTCCCCCTGAGAGTCCCTGTGGTGCTTGCGGTAAAGGGGGTCTCACACCACCTCTGTTGTCAAAGAGGCTGCCAGTGCCTTGGGGGTTTCTCTTTGGGTCTCCCTGCTCTTCTCTAGACGGATCGCCACCTCCATAGTCAAGGGGTGGGGGCCTGATCCCAGCGTGGACTGCTTGGAGCCGGCGCCATCTGCAGGGGAGCTTCCAACCACCCTCACTCTGGGATACAGCAAGATAGTCCTTGTGGGGAGGCTTGCCTTGGCAGACCAGCTGCTGCAGCTGAGATTTGTCGTTTGCCATGTGGGGCTCGTCTGGAGGTCAGCAACTGCTGTCTTGATGTCCCACCACCCCCCCCCCCCCCAACCTGCACCTCCCGGAGGTCCAACAGCACCACCTGCCCACCATCAGTGAGTAACAGCAGCCTTCGCTCCTCTGGAGGCCCAACAGCACCACCTGGTGACCGTGAGTCACTGTAGCCCCTGCCTACCGAGGTGCGCCAGCGGCCCCTGCTGTTTGTGGTTATAACCGCACCAAAAGGCAAAAAGTACTTAATTGTTTTCAGTGGAAGTTTGATTATGGAATTGTTGCTTATTCTGTTGTGTTACATATATATATATATTTAGTAAAGAATTGTTATTTTCCACAACTTTTTGACTGAAGCCTCTTAATTTTGAAGTTATAATTACTCAGAAGGAGGAGTTTGGTTTTTCTCCTATCCCGCCCTCCTTAGCAAACACTTTTGTCTTGTTAAACTGAGACACAGATTCAGACAAGCACAAATTTCTTTTAAAAGTAACTCATTTATTCTGTGGTAATGCTTAATGTATTCAACTGTTTAATTACTTAAAATCTAATTTCCTGTCAAGTCCTTTGTAAGTGTCAAATAAATAATGTGATTCCAGGGGAGTGTAAGAGGTGGCCTCCTTGGGTAGGAGGGGAGAATCTT